TATATATATATATATATATATATGCATACATATTTATATATAAATTATTCAATTAATATTAATTTAATATATAGTATATTATATATTATATATATTGAAATAAATTATCCATATATCATATATTCTAATGTGACATTTATCACATTGTCTATTACTATTATACTATTACTACTATTTTTTATTATTATAATTAAGTAAAACATATCAGTCATATAATTTGTTTATAATTTATTATTTGGTTTAATATTAAAATATCATATCATATAACATTTCTAATGAGACACATTTATCATACTGTCTGCCTAGATGGTCTGTGATGACACACTGTCCAATAGGAGTGGAGAGGGGGCGGGGCTACCGATGATGGACTGATGCTGTTTGGCTAATACAGGATGAGCTACTAGCAGCTCAAGAGGTGGCTTTATCCCAGACGCTCTCACACGCAGAAACTTCATATAATATATCAGTCAGAGAGATAAAGGAATAAACCGAGGGCTGCACGAGTCACGTGGACATCTCGCACGCCTGCTTCTGCTCTGTTTTATCACGCAATAATGAGCTTACACAGAGGGCGTAAACACGGCCCATTTTTCAAAAGGGACAAACATCTTGAATGCAAATTGCTGCTTCTTAGAAAATAGATTGTTTATTAATGGGCCGGTGGGTTCATTATACAGCAACACTGGAGGTGGGGACAGCAAGGCATCATGGGTAATGGGCTTTGTGGGGCACACAGCAGTGAATGGTTGTCATCTTCATCTTATGTAGCTGTGGGGGACGGAGGGACACGATTACACACCAAACACTGACTGCTGACTGACCTGCTCCATATGCCATGACTGCAACTTGACTTCACTTTTCAAAAGTCTTTGTGACTATTATTTCTGTTAGAGACCCCAGATATAAAACTGTACTGTAGTGTTTATGAAAAATGCATGCCAACTTTATAGTAACACAGGGTTAAAGCTTCAATCAGTAGATAGCTGTAAACGAGACTGGGGCTATAGTTGTCACAGTAAAACCACACTGACATACATTAAGAGTCACTATACAATGAAACTGTGCAATCAGGTCAGTTTTATAACATATTAATATAGGTATCTATTTTTTTTTTTATATTTTATGTAATTTCATTGATATAAATCTACTGCAAATCGAATGATATTTGATATTTAGTATGCTACTTTTTTGCTATATTTCAACAATTGAAACTAACTTTAAATAGTATTATTTATGCACTATTATAGTTTTATTAATATTTATAAAGTTTTCATTTCAACTAGCAATTTTTTTCATCTGTTCTTATTTAGTTAATTTTTTATTGTTAAATATTACTATTTAGGTTTCATTTATAATAACCTTGGTTCAGTTTATTATCGTTTTTGTAATTTCTAATTAGTCATTTTAGTTTTTCATCTAATATTTATATTTTATTTCTATTTCACCTCTACTTAAATGAACAAAAACATTTTTATTTACTCGTTTATTGATTTATTATTTTTACTAATTTTTAGTGCTTTTAAGTCTTTCACCTAATAGTTATATTTCGGTTTCATTTTTTTTATTTCTATTTTTTTTTTCACATTTTATTTCAATTAACAAAAACATTTTGATTTATTTTATGTTTTAGCTAAACATTTACGGCATTTTAATGTTTAACGTTCCAGCAAGTAGTGCTCCAAAATATCAGAATATATAGGTTTTGCAGGGAAAATAGTTAATTTTGACATTACTAATATAATTTTTACACAGAGCACTGAAGTGAACATCAGCGGCTCTAGAGTTTATACTTTATTCTGTCTCTCGTCTGAACAAACAGTGGATCAGTGTGAAGTCCTCAGCTGACCTCTATCACAACCAGCGCTCTGATTATGTGCACTGCTGTGTCTGTTTTGTTCTTTGACTTTATAGTCTTTAATCTGAGTCGAAGAAGATCAAACCGGCGTCTCTAAGCCAATAAAGGGTTCAGAAGAGAACGAGAAAGATCGTGGCTACACAAACAGAGAGGAGAAGAAAGCAAGCGTCATTCATACCTTTGATCCTCTTTCATTAAAGATAATCTCCACATCTAAGATCTTCCCAAATTGCTGCAGAAAAGGAGAGCGAGAGAAAGAGAGAGCGAGGGAGAGAAAAGCTAGATGAAAACGGGAATAAGAGAGAGATAAATCAATTAGGAGGAGCCTCTGTGTCCATGAGAAAGTGGGGCTCGAAACCTGGGATGAAATAATAACATCATGCATCCGGCAAACTGGAAATTACATAACACACAGGACATGTTAGATGCTTCCCACTGCAGGCTTCATAAAACAACTTTTCCAGAGTTTAGATTGTGAAGAACTTTTGCAATTCTCTTGCTATAATCTCATTCCACAGTATTATTAAGTGTCTGCAGACTCCAAGGTCTCTGGCGTGAGGTTTATAATGTGAAATCTGTGGTGTGAAGTTTCTAATGGGATGTAAATGGAGTCTCTGGTGTGAGGTCTTTCATGTAAAGTCTGTGATGTGAGGTTTCTAAGATGATTTATTTGTTTTTTTTTTAGAGTGAAGTCTCTCACGTCTTATATCAAGTGAGGATTTTTCCATTAAAAGTCTGTGGTGAGAGGTGTCTAATATGATGTTTCTAAAGTGAGGTCTCTGGCGTGAGGTCTCTCAGATGAGGTTTCTCCTGTGAAGTCTGTGGTGTGAGGTGTCTAATATGATGTTTTTGCAGGGAGGTCTCTGGCGTGAGGTCTCTCTGTAATAGTCTGTGGTGTGAGACAGAGGTCTATAAGCCCGTCAAGTCCCTTTTTTTTTTTTTTTTTTTTTAAAAATAGGGGCTCGGGTCGGACTCGGGCTCATTTAGCTTTTCTACTTTTATTGTGCCCATATATGCGCAGAACACACATAGGCTACTGTATGAAATATTGTTATATTGATTATATTATAAATATTATACATCGCCTATATGCGACGCATATACGCACGCTTCAGCATACAGGTGACAGTTGACCATGCAGAGCATCAGGGAGAAGTTGGAGTGTGGGGAGTTACTAAAAGTTCCCAATGCTTTGGGAAAAGCTGCATTTTGGAAGAGTTTTGATTTTATTACCACGGCAAATAGTGAGCTAACTGGTCATGTGCAGTGCAGAATCTGCAAGCCCCAGCAAAAGTAATTACCATGAATGTGTCGGGGGAAATAGTTATTTATGAATTAATTTTTCTGAGTCCTTGTCGCAAAGATGAAGATGACGATCCTGACTCGCCATCTCCTCATTGGATTGCCTTTAGAGAGAAATGCATCTTTACGGATTTTATAATGAAAGAGTTTTTGTTTTCGATTTGAATTTTTTTGTTTTAAAGTAGTAATTTAAATTAGGCAAGTTGTGATTATATAAGAAGGCTAAATTGATCAAACATAGGCTATCATCTCACTGTCTGCCGCTGGCCGCTTGGTCGTTAAAAAACAAAAACTTACATTTAACGAACAAAAAAATTGAGAAATAATTTTTCTAAATTAACTTAATAAAAAAATGAAACAAAATATAATCACTTTGACATTACATACAAAACTGAGCTATGTTAATAGCTGAAACGGTAGTATAGCTAAGCTGTTTTGGGAGAAGGGGGGAAAACAAGATGGCCTCGGGTCGGACTCGGGCCAAGAATTCTGATGAGCTTTCGGACCTGGGCCAGGCTAGGGCCTGTGCGTCTCGGGCCAGGGCCGGGCTAGGGCCTATATTTGAGGCCCGTGCAGGGCTCTAATGTGAGGTGTCTAATATGAAGTTTTTGCAGTGAGGTCCCTCAGGTGCGGTTTTTCAGTTTTTCAGTAGAAGTCTCTGGTGCGATGTGTCTAATGTGATGTTTTTGCAGTGAGGTCTCTGGCGTGAGGTCTCTCAGGTGAGGTTTTTCAGTTTTGAATTAGAAGTCTGTGGTGTGAGGTGTCTAATTTGATGTTTTTGCAGTGAGGTCTCTGGCGTGAGGTCTTTCAGTTTTGCATTAGAAGTCTGTGGTGTGAGGTGTCTAATTTGATGTTTTTGCAGTGAGGTCTCTCAGGTGAGGTTTTTCAGTTTTTCAGTAGAAGTCTGTGGTGTGAGGTGTCTAATATGTTGTATCTGGACGAACAAAAAAATGCTCCAAACGTTTTTCTAAATTAACTTAATAAAAAAATGAAACAAAATATAATCACTTTGACATTACATACAAAACTGAGCTATGTTAATAGCTGAAACGGTAGTATAGCTAAGCTGTTTTGGGAGAAGGGGGGAAAACAAGATGGCCTCGGGTCGGACTCGGGCCAAGAATTCTGATGAGCTTTCGGACCTGGGCCAGGCTAGGGCCTGTGCGTCTCGGGCCAGGGCCGGGCTAGGGCCTATATTTGAGGCCCGTGCAGGGCTCTAATGTGAGGTGTCTAATATGAAGTTTTTGCAGTGAGGTCCCTCAGGTGCGGTTTTTCAGTTTTTCAGTAGAAGTCTCTGGTGCGATGTGTCTAATGTGATGTTTTTGCAGTGAGGTCTCTGGGTGAGGTTTTTCAGTTTTTCAGTAGAAGTCTGTGGTGTGAGGTGTCTAATTTAATGTTTTTGCAGTGAGGTCTCTGGCATGAGGTCTCTCAGGTGAGGTTTTTCAGTTTTTCAGTAGAATTCTGTGGTGTGAGGTGTCTAATGTGATGTTTTTGCAGTGAGGTCTCTGGCGTGAGGTTTCAATTGTGATGCATATGGAGTATCTGGCATGAGGTCTCATATTTGAGGTTTTTCATTAGAAATATGTGGTGTGAAGTTTCTAATGTGATGTGTATGGAGTCTCTGGTGTGAGGTCTTTCATGTAAAGTCTGATGTGAGGGATCTAAGATGCTCTTTTTTAGAGTGACGTATATCTTGTGAGGTTTTTCCAATAAAATTCTGGTTTCTAATATGATGTTTTTGCAGTGAGTTCTTTGAGGTGAGGTCTCTCAGGTGAGTTTTTTTTCAGCAGAACTCTATGGTGTGAGGTTTCCAATATGAAGCATATGGAGTCTCTGGCGTGAGGTTTTTAATGTGATGTTTTTGAAGTGAGTTTTCTAGAATGAGGTCCCTCTGATGAGGTTTCTCCTGTGAAGTCTGTGGTGTGAGGTTTCTAATGTGATGTTTTTGTAGTCTCTGGCATAAGCTCTCATCATTGGCCTGAGAGTGACCCTGAGACAGGAACAAAAACAGGCAATTTAATTATGTCCACATTTTATTTTTATTACAATAAAGATAAACAGAACTGTGTGTGTGTACATGACAAGCTCCTTTTTTTCTCTCTCTTCCTCTCTCTCTCTTGTTGTTGTTGTGTGCCATCGCTCCCAAGGGGGGAAACGTTCACCAATGTTCGATTTAGCTACCGTGCTGTTTGGATCGTTAGAAAGCGGAGGGATGAGGGACGAGCGCAAACCTCTCTAATGAGCGCAGAGTGAGGGCGGCTTTTAATTGATGTCTGTGATGGTCGTATTATTTCATTAAAAGTAATTACCCTGTCAAGCATGCTGCATCGCCATCATTTGGCCACTGCGGTAGATAATAAAACCTCTGCGAGTGCTGTGCCGGATGGAGAGAGATGACACTGGAAGTGCTAATAGGATCAAGAGCAGGCGCTGTTGTCTACAGACACAGGCCACAAAAAAGGATGAATAGACTGGGTTACGGGGTCAGCACTAATCAGACTACATGATAATGTTAATTAGCTGTTTGTGTGAGAGAAGAGATGTCAGGAAAGAGTCGCTAGACATGAGAAGCAAATCTTCATTAACAGCACTGCAATTAGGAAAGAAAAATCACACATGAGATCTCTTTAAAATCTCAGTTGTTTCTAGACAGCAGTTAGATGAAATGAAGAGTGAATGCAGACTTTTGGTTAAGATTCCTGCCTCTCGGATGTCTCTTCTGAGAAAAAAAGTCACCAGTCATTTCACATTTCTCCTCAAAAGAGATCCCAATAATGTCTCAAAATGTGCTCAGATTTGCAAGTGTGCAATCAAAGTCAGAGATCTCACTATGAACATCAAATAATCTGGCTGCTATCTGTATTTTAGGAGAATCATCTGGGATGATACCGAGACATAACAGCAATCTCCTTTAAATCTCCTGAGCAATAACACTTGCTGGTGATCTTCCAGCATGAAATCCAGAAATTGACTTTTTCCAAACAGATTTTAGGAGAAACATCTGAGACGAAACAGTGAACTCTTTTAAGTCTCTTGAGCAAAAGATCTTTCCTCTGATTGCTGATTTCTCAGCATAAGGTCCAGAAACACTCAATCTAGAAAGAAAAAAGTCACAAATTAGATCTCATTAAAGTTTCAATTGCTTCTCCTAGATCTCAGTGAGATTAAAGGGAGACTTTTTTCTTAAGTCTCTTGCTTCTCAGATGTTTCTCCTGACAAACAGACCCCAGTAATCTCACATTTCTCCTTCAGAGCTTCAAAAGAGATCTCAACAATGTCTCAAACTCTGCTCAGATTTGCCAAGATCGGCAATCAAACCTCAGAGATCTCAATATGAACTCAAATATTCCTCATCAAATGATCTGAGCTGCTCTCCGCATTCATTTTATAGCTCTTGTTTTATTTCCCCAATGAATTTGAGGAGAATCATTGGAGACAAAGTTGATACTAAAACAAAACCAGTGGAATAACATTTCAGGAACACTTAAAAGGACTCTGTGCTCATGGTCTTTTTGTTTGTGCTACAGCCGCAATGGCTTAATGTTACTGCTCATCCATTCAGCATCTGTGTGAAACTGTAGGCTGAAATCTATCAATTTATTCAAATGAATGCACATTCTGTGGAGGGCTCAATCGGAGACACACACAAACACATTAACTCCCCAGCGTGAGCTTCGTGTTGTATGGTGGGGGTTTCCCTGGCTAGCGTGCTGCAGATGCTAATTGTTTTAACCAGGCCTAATGGACCAGTGATAGAGATGAATTAGTTTGGTGGGAAAGTTGCGTACGGCTGGGGAAGTGGTTGTCTCTACTGAGCATGCTCAGTTACCCCCTGTGGTGGCAGTTTTCTCATGCATACGTGCAGTAAAACCTTAGCACAGCGCTGCAGGGAATGAAGCACTTAGTAGTTTTGCAGAGGATTGTGCTGCA